TCAGAAGCATACTTTTACCTAGAAAACAGATTTGTTACCTTGAATCATCGCCTCGAGTTTTATTCTCTTTTAAATATCTTAACGTCATGGCCCCTTCTACTCCTACACCCAGCCCTTTCGCCGCCATGAGGAACTTTGGTGGTATGGTGTCATCTGCTCGTGAGTTTTCATCGATACTCACCCTACCTCGCCGAACTTGGCTGATGTTCAGTTTCTTTCGGCGACAGATCTCGCCAAGTCTCCTCCCTCGGCCTCGGCACTCTCTCTCTGGGGGAGCCGTCTGGCGCTGCCTCGCCCCCTCGCTCCGCCTCTCCCTCCGCTGGTTCTCCCTCCCCCGTGTCTGGTTCTCCCGTCCCCGTAACGGGTTCTCCTGGAGGGCCTCCTCCTGCCGCCACTCCTCGCCGTAGGACGCCCGCCTTTCGTCCTGGTGAGTCTCCGTCCTCCTCCGACCAGGACTCGCTCAGTGGGGGCTCGGAGTCGGGTGATCGACCCGACACCGAAGAAAGTGAGGATGATGATGATGGGGAGGGTAGGATCGATAGTGAGGGTGAAAGCGAGTTAGAAGAATACCCGGATGATGATGTGGAGGTGATTAGTGTAGAGGACAACAACGTAGATAGTCCTGAGCGTGAGTTCTTCGTCCAACCCCTCACACCTTCGCCGAACTTGGCCTTGTTTATCTGTTCTTTAGCTCTCCAAGACATTGCTAACTCGCAGCCGCTCCTGCCCCTCCCCCTGCTCAAATTGTGGGCCAGAAACGACGCCGTTCCCTCTCCTCTTCTTCTTCTTCCTCTTCTTCTTCTTCCTCTTCCTCTTCCTCTTCCGGGGTTCTCCCCCCCCCCCAACGCCATCGCCGCTGCCGCCGCTGCTGCTGCCGCCCGCCCTGCTGCCGCCATCGCTCTCCCCCCCCCCAACGCCATCGCCGCTGCCGCCGCCCACCCTGCTGCCGCCGCCGCCGCCGGTCCTGCTGCCGCCGCCCGTCCTGCTGCCGCCGCCCCCGTCGCTGCTCCCCCCCCTTCTCCCAGAGGGGAGCCTTCGCCCAAACGGGTGAAGAGATCACTGCGGGAAGAAGAGTACTTGTGGGAGAAGATGAAGTCCGAGCCTGGTCGTTGGATCGCGGTTGGTGTTGACGAAGCGTGTGATCGTTGCCGGTGAGTCCACCTATTCGTTCTACGCCGAAGTTACTCCTGCTAATTAGTAGACGTGAGATTATCACGTATAATCGTCCAAACTGGCCCTGCCTCAAGGCAGTCAGGCCACACAACAAGGCCCTCCGTTGTGCTTCATGCACGTCTGGCCCCTGCTCCTTCTGTCCCGTTTCCTCTGCCCGGGACATCCCGCCCCGTCCCTCCGACTCTTCTCCTCTCCCCCCTCCCCAGACTCCAGCGTCTGTCCCCCGTTCGCGGGTACCGTCTTCGTCTCTCCGGTCGGTTCGCCGAACTTCGCCGTCCTCCCGCTCGTCGCCTCCCTCGCCCTCGCCTTTTGTTCCTGTGGCCGGCCCGTCGCGTCTCCCGGCTGCTCCTCCTTCGTCCTCCCGTCGTCCTTCGACCTCTCGGCCGTCCTCTCCTGTGGTGGCTTCTCCTCCGGCCCACAGCACCCGAAGTCGCCGTCCTTCTGCTCCTCCGGCCACCCCAGCGGCCGCCCCTGTCACCGAGTCCCCCGCTGCCAAGAAGACCCCGAAGTCTTCTTTAAAGAAATCAAAAGGGAAAAGGAAGGAGAAAGAGGTCGTCTTTGAAGCTGGTGATGTGGAAGATGAAGCTACTCAGCGTGCTGGGCCCTCTGTTCCTCGGTTGTCCTTCGTCCACCCTCGTATCTCCCTGGACCCTCGTATC